CAAGTGTCTGCTCTATAAATATATATCTTCCAGGAAGATAAGCTGTTTTAAGACAAAAAGAGCCTGTGGTTTTGCACAGGACATTTCTGATTGAGACAGGGAGGTAAACATGCTTCTTCTCTCCCTCCTGCGTGCTATAACTGGGGATTCCCTTAGCCAAACATGCTAAGATCAAACTTTCAAGTGCTTGAACTTGAGAAGCATCTCATAAAAAGCTTCAACCTCACAGAATATTTGTTTGCACTGTATGTAGCAATTCTGACAATGCCTCTTAACCAAACAGTTCCGGTTATTTCAAAGTCCCAAGCATGTCTTAATTTGAAGCCCTGCTGAAAGGCAACCTGAGAGAAGTCTTTTAGAGATGAAAACTTATAAAACCAACAAAATTCTAAATTCCTTTAGATCTCACATAGAGTCTAATATAGTTTACATTCTACAGTTTAGTTGTGAACAGAAAAAGGCTATTGAGCTTAATCACAGATCTGAGACCTGAGACATCAAAGCTGGACAGACTGTGACTGCTTAACTGTCCAGGCTAACTTTGAGTTTATATTCTGTGCGCATCCATAACCATAACTTTCCAAGAAAGCAAACTTAACATTTGCTGCCCAAAACAATTAGGACGGAGAACAGGGAAATCGTTGAAATAATCAAGTCAAAGAACAAATAAAAGGCAACCTGAGAGAAGTCTTTTAGAGATGAAAACTTACAAAACCAACAAAATTCAAAATTCCTTTAGATCTCACATAGAGTCTAATATAGTTTACATTCTACAGTTTAGTTGTGAACAGAAAAAGGCTATTGAGCTTAATCACAGATCTGAGACCTGAGACATCAAAGCTGGACAGACTGTGATTGCTTAACTGTCCAGGCTAACTTTGAGTTTATATTCTGTGCGCATCCATAACCATAACTTTCCAAGAAAGCAAACTTAACATTTGCTGCCCAAAACAATTAGGACGGAGAACAGGGAAATCGTTGAAATAATCAAGTCAAAGAACAAATGAAGAGTTCAGATGCAAAAGCCTCTAAGTACGTCTGACGTTTTTCTTTAAAATTAGCATTTCTTTCTGGCTACTATGTATAGGTTTCTATGTAAGTACTGGTACTTCTGAATGGGTTGAGGCTGGGATTTAGCACATTTGAAGTGAAATTACTTGATGAGCATATACTATGTGTGGAGAGCATTCACTCAGTATCATTATCTCATTTTTGACCAAGTTGGCTTTTAGAGGCTTTTGCATTGGAACTCTTCAAATACATTTAAACATTTGTTTTGGACGATATACAATTTGATATAAAAATATAAAAAATACCAAATTAAAGCTGCAGTCCGTAACTTTTTTGTGTTCAAAACTTACAAAATGTATATAATAAGCAAGTACACCATGAATCGATTTTCCAGACCGTGTTTTTGGCTTGTCCTGAATCCCTACGGTACACCTATAATAAGTGTTTATACTCGGACTATTTAGACTGGTTCGGGTAGGTACCGCTGCGGAGTAGCCCAGTACCTGCGTGATTCGCCATAGACATAAACCGAGAGAAGTAGCTCCGGCTACAATGTTCTTCCGCAAGATGCACGCAGTTCTGTTTATTAACCGCTAGAGCGCCAAAAGTTATGGACTGCAGCTTTAAATAATAAGCTATGTACAAAGAAAAAAAAATAACATGCAATTTGTAATTATAAGTAGCCTATTTACATTTTGTAATTAATATGGCTTACATTTTAGACCAAAATTGTCTAATTTGTAGCCTATATTTCTCCTTTGCCAACGAAAATAGTTCCAAAAGAAGTTAAAGTTTTGTTGCTACGCAAGTCTGAGAGACTAAACGCCGGTCTGGGATAAAGTAAATTTGTGTAACGGGGCGACAGTGATCACTTGGCTGCAGCTCCACTCCGGATTTTCCATTTCCCCTCTGCACTTGCATTAAAGAGAGAAACCCCATCTTGAGCAGTAACTTACTGTAAAACGTTGACGCTCTGATTTTCAATCTCCGCCAGAGAAAACGCCGACACTTTGACTTTTATAAAACCCGCTTTTTGCCCCCGACAAACTCTGCTCCCCATCTAAACTTTACTCTGAAAACAGACAAAAAGTGAACCATCCTATTGTTGTTATAGACTACTATTATATCACATCGACCAAATAAAATTTGAGGACCGAAACTAATACAACAGACAAACAATAAATAAATAAAGAGTTAAAACAATACGTCTGGGAATTCAAAAAGCAATTAAATAACTGCCACAAAAAGAAATGAGAAAATACTTTGACTGAATCACACTCACTTTGCCTGAGCTGATTTACCTGTAGCGTTTAGTGAGGATCTGCATAAACTCCGGCAAATTATTCCACAGGACTTTGTTCTTCACATCAGCAAAATCATATTCCACAAAATTTTCAGGTTCAGAAGTATTCACATGATTTGAGCATTGTTGCAGAAATAAAAAAAAAATTGTAGCCTATGCTGTCGAACCCAAACGAAGTGTTAGTAGCTCTCGAGTAGCTGATGGCACTGTCTCCACGCGCACCTTTCCAAGAAAGGTGACAGGGTTAAGCTGCGCTGGCGGAGAACATCCTGCTCCTCCTCCCCACACCTCACCTGCCCAATAATAACACTCTGTCACTGAGAGTATGCTACATTTAAAAGACTTTAGAGTCCAAAACATTTGAGTCTTACAACACAGCACATAGTAAAAGAAATAAAATCCTGTGTTTACAGGATTCTGTGATCATAATAGAATCCCCTCGGAGTCAGATGAGATCCTACTGGATAAACTGAACCCTACACTTTGATTCTTAGAGTCATATTCGTTATTTTTTATCGGGACCATGCTGTTTTGGAACTTCTAAAGGATTTACATTTGTTTTTGTGCTGTGCTGAAATCCTAGGCTATCTAGCCTAAGAAGAAAAAGCCCATCAGGATCCATTAGGATTTGTTCCAATGAATTCCAACAGGAATCTTTTAGGATTTTTTGCTAGATGATTATGATTACTCTGACTTCTATAATGAAGCCATTAGTTAAGCCTAGATCTATTAGTTTATGAGTTCAAGTTATAGCTACTCATACCACCATCAGTATAAATAAATAATATGTATTAATTCCTACATTTGCATGTGTACCCTATGTATCTAAATTGTTTCAATACTTATTTATTTTCAGTGTAGGCTACCGTTCACACCAAGAACGATATCGTCCACTCCAATGGATGATAACGTTCTCTTGAATGACATCTGTCGCTTTAAATGCGTTCTGATTGGCTGTCAATATTTTATCGTTCATTAGCTGGGGGCAAAAATCATTCTGAAAGTGATTCCAACGATATAATTCCGATATAAGTCATTTTACATTTTGAACGATTTTTAAAACTATATTTTTACTGTTTTCATTATAGTATCATCCTTGGCATTAATGCTAGTCATTATGAATCTATATACTTGTCTTAAGTAATCTTTGTTGGGCCCTGGAAACGTAAACCAGTTAGTTGAATGTGTTAAATAGTTTGAGTAGAGCTTATTATGCTAACTCAGCTTCAGTTAATGGACTTGGTGCTGTAGGGTCAGCGGCCCATGAAAATGGATGGCTTGCTTTCTCATAGATTTAGAAAGGTTTCCATGTTTCACTTATGATTTAAGTTAATAAATGAAATGTTGTGTTTGCGCATTTAATAACCTGTTATCTTTAATCATCATACTATGGCAACCAATATTACTACCAAGTTTATGCTCTACAGTTTATGCTCTTTTGCCACCTTTAACCTTTGTTAACACTTTCTACACTGTCCTCCAGCCTCAAACTGAGTCTTAATCGCTTGTGCAATAAACCTGTAAGCATTCCTCTAGGAAACCATAGCACACTGCTGCTTTACCACAGAAAGATCAAGTCCTGACCAATCCTCTGGATCTGCTGGGTTTAGGAAGCCTGTTGAACAGAAGTGGTAATCGGGGTTTACCCACTAATGCGCTTTCTTGGACTGAGATTTAAGAATCTGTCAGGTGTAGCAGAAAATCTCTATCTATCTATCTATCTATCTATAGATATCTATAGATAGATATTCTTCAACAAAGACAGTAAATGCATAGAAGAAGAACGAAAATGTTTCTCTGCTAAATTGTTCATCATATTACTGTGAAAACATAAATATCAAATCACATTATGGTCAAATAACCATAGTCAGCACTACACTGTAAAAAAATGACCGTGAATTTAACGGTAAAAGACTGTAAAAATGCTACAGTAAAAACCTGTTAAATGGTTAACGGTAAATTCCCCTACTATATACGGTGAAAAACTGTATTGGACATTACATGTATTGGACATTAATTTTACGGTAGTATACCGTTTTTGGAAGTGAAAAAGACTGTATAATTTACAGTGAATAACCATAAATTGACATTCCCAGATTGCAGGGTGCAGCGTTACATTTCAAATTTGATGTTTTTTTGTTGAAATAACTATGTTTCTTCTTAGTTTTTTTGTTTTGTATATTAGGGTTGAGTGTTACACCTAATGTTGTTAAATTAATGTTTATTGCATTATTTCAGTTTCATGTGTGTTACCATGATGGTGTTTAGTGTTTGTGTGAATGACACTGTGCGCCTTCTATATATGTTATTATTTAAAAGCTGCTTGTGATGGGCTTTGGATCATCATGTGACTTTCTCATCACCACCTGCATTGGGTGGTTATCAGTGTATTACAAAGGTACAAAACAGATTTAAGTACTGCAATAAGGTTGGTATATTAACATTATATCAGTTAATGAAATTACGGTATTTAACTGTAAATTTAAGTTAAAACCGTAAAACCTAAAACGCTGCTACCGTATTTTTTACCGTATATTTTATGGAATTGTTTTTACAGTGTATGGTTATCAGTTTGTTTTGCAAAGCTATTAATTTGTTAATTAACTCATCCAGATAATTTAGTAAATTATGCAAGTTTTAGTTTCTTTTAAATTTTATGTGTAGTTTTGTGATGCCCATTATCACTCAGAATTGAACTGTCCCATAAAAACGGAATTAATCTATTGCAGCTAACGCCTCCAAGTAAATCTGTATTATAGCTACTATCTGTCTTGTTGAATGTCGTGAATATCATTATTTCAGATCTTTACTCGTGAAAATGTCTCATTTGCTGTGACCCCCGGTGTGATTTTTGCTGCTGATTACAAACAGTCATTCTCAGATAGCACGGCTGTCTTTGAGAGAGGATAAACCATCATCATTATGTTTAATCTTTTGATGTCAGACTTCAAACAAGAGCGGCAGAGCAAACGCTAGTCTCTAATCACTCTGAAATGATAATGAAGCAATCCCATTGGAGAATTCGAAATGTCTAACTAGTTCAACATTTGTACAAGAGACATTTTTCTTATTTGAGTTAAATGTTGGTTGCCATTCTCTGCTCATTGTTTTAGTTTCATTTTTAAATAATTAGCTTATAATTATGTTCAAAAAATCACTTTGATGTTTCAGTCAGGTATATTCCATCCCAACTACTTTGTTCAGCTAATCAGTCTAAAGTAGTTCATACTACTGTCAATAAATTATGTTAGTTGTATTGGGAATAATTACAGGTATTTTTTTGCTAATTTTACATCCACTGAAATTTAAATCTGCCCATATGCAAAGAAAAAAAACTCCAGGTGTGTAGACCTTCCTGAAGTGTATTTAACATTTGCAACACAAGTGTCCTCATAAAAACAACAGATGTGAAAGAAATAAGCAGTACATGTTCCATTTACATGTCCTGTGTAAATACAGTATTGGAACTATACTAAGATCTTGTTTAAGTCTAGTTAAGGTTCTTGGTTTTCTAATGACTGCTATAAAGCAAAGCTGTTGAGCATGTTAACATCAAACATATCCAGAGATGGTTCTTGTTTACAGATAGTCTTGATCTAATTGCTGTACTGCTGTGTGGTTATAATTGTTTAAGTCCCCTGACTCCTTACGTAAGTTCACTCCTTTATAATTATTGAATGCCACCTAAAAATAATAACTGTAAAAATAATTCGAATTTATTGTTATTAAAATGTATAATACATCTAACTGGGTATAAAAATATGTATTTATGAATCTGTTCAGAAAGCTTTTATTGACCATTGTCTGCTTAAGGCAGTGTTATTTTAGAATCACTGAGATACTATTACCATTGTTTTTTTATATATACAGTATATATATTTTGAATTAGTTTTTATTTACATTTATATATATATTTTTCATTTTAACTTTAGATTAAGTTTTAGTAATGTGTATTTGTCGTCTTTGTATTTTTTTTAATAAAAATTTTTTAATTAAATTTTAGTTATTTTAGTATTTAAGTTTAGATTTTCTGTTTTCATTTTAATATTATTTAAAGTTTTAATAATGTTGTTTTTAATGTGTCTATCTAGTTTTATTCGTTTTTATTTAAAGTTTAATTCGTTATTTTAATATATCAAGTTAAAATAAATGAAAATGATAAATATTTTTTCATTTTTTCGAAAAAATATGTCTTTGTTCTTTGTTTTTTAAATTTCAGTTAACAGTTTTTTATGGGTTTTAGTTTTAGTTAACTATAATAACCCTGGGTTGAAGTCTGTATTTTTCTGTATTTTTTAATTAAAGATACATCACATATATAACTGTTCGAAAGTTTGAGGTCTGTATGATTTTTGATGCTTTTGAAAGAAATTTCTTATGCTTACCAATGCTGCATTTATTTAATAAAAAATACAGTAAAACATGAATATTTTGGAATTACAATTTAAAATAGCTGATTTCTATTTGAATATATAT